TTTCTCTCTCCTTTCATCCTCGCTCCTCTCGCTCCCTTCTCTGAGCCCTTTTTTATATCCTCCTCCCCTTCTCCTAGTCTCTGTCTGCAAAACCAAACTGGTACTTGTTGCTGGTGCTGAGACCCTATGTAGGTCAGCCACTGTGAGTCATGAATCTCAGCTGCCGTGGCTCTGCAGCTGCTTCTTGATGCAGGAGGGTAATCAGTCTGATCATTCTTGTACCACTTGCCCCTACCTCTCTTCTGCTTCCTTGGGAGTTACCAGAAGTGCCATGTTGTGCCAGACCACTTGGCTGCAAGCTGCACAAAAATCCCTAGCTCGTCAGGCCAGGAGCCCAAAACAACTTGCAGACCTCCCCATTCAGTGCCTTCTTCGTGACTGCACACAGCCATGATCACTGGGCTTGTCCTTCTGCTGGGAAATGTGTCTACACAGCGCCCTTTCAAGCAAAAGTCCCACAGCCCACAGGACTGCAATTTAAAATGTCACTCAGAAATGTTCTGTGCCTGCAGATGGAGGAGGGATTGTTCTGAAAGGCTGTTTTGTCTGCAGTGAGACCCCTTACCCTCTCCAGAGCTGCAGGTCCATATAGCAGTTACTTCACCAGTGCTGTCACCAGTGAAAAAAATGTTGAATGCTGTGAGCTGTCCTCCTTGTCATGCTCCTGCTTGACTTGCTTAGGTGCTTTTGAAACCCCTGTGAGCCCCCCACCCATTACTTTGTAGGGCCCTCAGCAGTGAAAATCAGTCTCAGTCCCTTTCCGACCAGTTTTCAGTAACAGAAATAGAAACCAAATCCAAATCTTCACCCCCATCAGAAACCTCAGCTGCAAGGCTATCCTACCATTTCATATGCTGCTTTTATTTTTGAACCTTCAGAGCTGTGACACATCTTCTACAAAGGTTAAATTCAAATTTAGCTGCATAAGCATAGAAGGGAAAGTCTGTCTCTCAGTGCACGTTAGAATATAGTCCCCAGCCCCCTCCAAAACAAAATGGAAGTATCTCTGGTTGAAGGCAGCCTACACAACAGCGAGCTGCAGGAGCTGTAAGCTATTATTTTAGCTCCCAAGCAAAGTAATTACTATAGCAACCAGCACATCCGAATGGCTTTTTGGCTGCTACTGAGACACAAACAAATTGTGCACAAAGGCACATCTGAAACGTGCTGTGTAAAGTGTTATTGGGTAGCTGTGTTTTTTGAAGAGCTTTATAAAACCTGCATAACTGGCTCCTGATAAATGACTGCCAGAATAACAGCAAGCAATTTTACCATGGCATGATCCTAAAATAACTTAATCAATGGCTCAGTATATTTGCCACTGAAGAGATGAAGCAGAAAAAGTGCAGGCTCCATTTTAAGCCTGTGTGCTGGGAAGTACCCAGCAGAGATGAAGATATGTTCAATAAACAGACAATAAAATGATGGGGTGAATGTCTCCCCTTTTGTTCTGTGTACCAATGCAAACCCCCTGCAGGCTTTAGTGCCAGCTTGTTCCCTCAGGATTACACAAAGTTTGTTGGGAAAAGGGGATTTAATTGCAGCCTTTTAATGCTGGAGGGTGTAACAAGTGATGTCTGGATTCTTTTCTGAGTCTGTGCAGCAACCAGCCTCAGCAGACCCCATCTCCAGCTGCAGTGCTGGGTACGTTACTGTTATTATCAGTGAATAGGAAAGCTTCTTGGGCAACAGCAAACTGTAATCATTGGCCATTGCTTAAGTATTACAGCATTTGGAGTGCCTCTGTCACCTTCAAATCAAAATGCCACTGGTGTAATAACAGCTTGATCATTTTTGGGCTCTGCGTGCAAAGCTGCATCACTTCATGGCGCTGAGACAAACAGCTTAGGTTCTGCAAAACAAGAGATCTGGGCCAAGCAGCCTGGCCCAGGAGTGCTGTCCATAGGGCAGATACAGACGTGTCACCTATCTCAAAGATGGGGAGTGGCATTAAAGTCACGCTCCTGCTCCGTTACATGAGGCAGCTCTGCTGAAAATGGGGGTTACAGGTCTGGGTAACTCAGAACAGAGCTGGATCCTGTAAGTGAGCACGTGTCTCTTCACAAACCTGAATTGCCTTTTTAAGATATTTGTTTCATCAGTTGAGTCCTAAAGTCTTTAAAATAAAGACAAAATTAAGGAAGGAAGTATAGTGATGTAATTTATTACAGAAGTGCCTTAGGACCAACAAAAAAAAGGGATCTTGTGATAGCAAGTACTGCACGACAGAGAGTTTTGTTTGACTGTAGCCTTTTAAGCAAAGTTACTTTATTTTGGATTAAAGAAAAGCATCTGAAAAAGGCACAAAAATAAAGTATCCATAAGAAAATAGCACAAGCATGTGTAAAATCCAATGCCTTGCTAAACAGTAGCTGCCCCGCAGGCACCTGGAATTTCCAAGCTGCTGATCCCAGGGAAATAAATTCTCCTCTGTAATTTTTCACATAACAAGTTCATTTTCTGACAGTGGTTGACAGTGCATTAAATGGCTCCCTCTCAAAAAACACCAAACCCAAACTGTTCTTTTTCACAGTGTGCCTTTTTATTAGCTTTTTGGTGAGGAAAAGACAAGACCATTCACTCACTGGTTGAGTTCCCAGTTTGCCTTTTCTGGTAAACAAATCTCTTACCTGGTTTAGAGGAGCTGGGGCCAGGCTTCTGGGCAGCAGGTAACCTGCCCTCATGCCATCCCTCTGCTATACCTACAGAGTCACTGACTGTGACAGAGCAAATACAACTTGTTCCTCACAAACATTTGGGTTGCAAAAGGCTGCTGCAGTCCCTTTTCATCAGTGAGAACGAAGGGAGATACAGAGAAGAGAGCTGGTGCACCACCCAGCTATTTGTGCAGAGCCACAAGGCAGAGAAGTGAAACCAAAGTCTTGGGAGATGTGCCGCAAGCTTTTCTGAACACTCACCAGCCCTGGAAGTACCCTGCTGCCAATATCAGGCATGTTCAGGCCCAGTACTGGGGTTTTCTTCTGGAAAGAAAGAAAGAAGAAAAAAATGCAAGCAGCTTGCATTAGACCCTTCACTGTAAGCAAAACTCAGTGCCACGGTGGATAAGACCTGAAACAAACTCTCTCTTAAAAATAAGAATGACCAAAAAAGAAAATCCAGCCTAGTGAGATGCTGAACACAACTTTCTCGTATTCTGCCTCTTCCCCTTGTCTGCCTCCCCCATTTGACAGGTAGGACACACACAGAGGCAAACTATGAGAAATTCTCTAGGTGATGAAGCAGGACTCTTGAAATACCTCGCTCAGCTCCTGAAGCTGACACTGCTTCACTGCCCTTGCTCTTTCGTGCAGGATTCAGTCTTGCGCAAACTGGTTTCTAGTTTATCTGTCAGCTTGAAAATTGGGTAGATGGTTCATGAACAGATTTGTCTGTGGCATTGCTTTTGCACCTGCATAGTCTTAGATGTCACTGGGGCTTGAGTGATCTTGCATCCGTGAAGGTAGGTGAGGAAATGAAAGAGAGTGCGTGACTGTTATATAAGACAAAGAGTTGGTTCTGGACCTTCTCTGGTGTGAATCGAAGTAAATCAAAATGGCAGCTCCTGTCACGTTAAAAAAACACACCTTAATCAAAACCTGTCTTTGTGAAGCAGAAATTCTTCCTGTGTCTGGAGAAACATGTTGAGAGAGAGGTGTTGAGCGAGTTGAGGTGCTAAGGAGTGAGCTTCTGGGAATGCTTTGCCTGTGAAAACACTTTGTGAATTGTTTATAAATGCAGCTGCCCTCTCTTCCACCTGCCAGGAGCCTTCCTCGCTCCAAACACAGTTTGTGCTGCTCCCCGGCCCATTTCAAACCGGAGGTGGTATTGGTGAGCAGTAAAAAGCATGTTTACTTGCAGTGTTGTTTTCAGATAGAGAGCACTGATTGTGAAGGTGCAGAAGGAAACACAGGAACAGCCGTTTGCGTGACACTGCGAAAACGAGGCCATCGGTAACAAAGACATTCAGGTTTCAAAACCACGTCGGCTCAGCTCAGCCCTGGGTGGGAAGTTTTGTTTCTGTGTCAGCTTGGAATCTATAGTTTTTCTTGTCTAAAGGTGATTGTTGTGTTGGAAATTAATATTTAGCAACCACTAAATTGAGTTTTTTTGGCGGCAATTCTTGGAATTATTGGTTCTTTGAACAAATTCTGAAAGTGGGCCCTCATAAAAATACAATAATATCCAAATTGTAGTGAAGTCCTTTCGCCTTGCACTCAGCCTTGCCAAAAGATGTGAAAAATGTGCACACACGTTACTTAAATGTTGCTCAGGTTTTCCCCTAGACTGAAACTGTAAAGACCTGAGACAGACAAGAGAAGTCAGTATTTCAAAAGATGATGATGTTGAATGGATTCCAGGTCAGGGCCACATGACTGAATAACAACTGGCCAGCCTGATTTACAGCTCCATCCTGACACAGGCACTGGACCTGCCTTGTGCCTCTTGCAGAGGGGCTAAGGGGGAGCATAAAAGGAGAAAACAGCATTTTTGTCCTGCCATATTTTACCAGGGTCCCAGAAGCTGTGACAGTGTAATGAAAGTGGGGGAGAAGAGCTGGTGGTGGTGATGCCGTGTCCTCTGAAAACCCAAACGTGCAGACTGGTAGCCACACTGCCTGGCTCTGCCAGCACAAGCCTGAGGACGCTCAGCCTTGCTCTCTCTTTTCAGCATCCTTCTCTCTCTCTCTCCTTCACCACCTCCAGCCAACCAGACCCAGAGGACCACTGCTCTGCGGTGAAAGCCCTCGGCACCTCTCCGCGCTCCAGCGCATCCCTCCGTGGCCGCCGTGCCGTTTGCCAGCGTGCCATCCGCGCAGCGGGGAGCAGCCCATGCACGGTGTAACTCCTCCCAGCACTGGAAGGCAATCATGTGATTTTTATGATTGCTTCCCTGAACCCTGTTTGTTCTGCTCCCGGCCACCATTGCTTCCTCCTGAGCGTCATTCCCTGGCAGGGCCGCAGCTCCTGCCGGCAGTGCTCGGAGCCAGGTTTTGGGGAGCAATGACAGAAGTTAAGAGAGAAGTGTTTGGGCAGATGCCCCAGGAGGAAGGAGGAGAAGTGGTGGAAAAGTTTGTGTTAAAGTCAGACAGTGTGAAAGTGGAGATCCTGTCCTTAGGGTGCATAATCGCTGCTCTGGAGACAAAAGGCAGGGATGGGAAGTTTTCAGATGTTGTCCTAGGCTTTGACACTCTGGAAGGTAGGTCTGAATCTGTTTCTTTAAAAAAAATAAACTTTTTTTTTTTTTTAAATCAGGCAATTTAACCAGCGTTTTCTGATTTGTTACCACACTGCATGATCTGCTTCTAAGAGTCCCCTCCAAATCATGGGCTGAATAAATACAACTCCTGCTGCCTGTCCTGGGCTCAGTGGTGGATGGGGAATAGGGATGCTGATGGCTCCAGGTTGCAGTGTGCCCCTCTAATAGGGCAGCTCTGTGTCATGCTTTGACCAGCAGTGACAGAGGCCTTTTCTGCAAATGTGTGAAGAATACAAGATCCCATCAGGCTGTTTTAATCAAAGTTGTGCATGACTAGTGAGCTGTGTGTCCTGTGAAACACTAGGACTGCAGACACCTATTTAGTACTGGGGGAAAGCAGAGAGAGACACTTCTGAGACTGTAACACACCTGGAGACCACCCACCCTGTCCCAATCCTTCCGTTTAACCATGTGCTGGTTTTCTGGCCAGGTTACACAAGGAAGCACCCCTTCTTCGGTGCCGTCGTGGGGCGTGTTGCCAACAGAATTGCGAAGGGGAGGTTCAGCGTGGACGGGAAGGAGTATCAGCTGTTCCTCAACAATGGGCCCAACAGCCTGCACGGAGGAGCCAAGGGATTTGACAAGGTAAAAATCAGGCTGGCAGATCCCGGTGTCCTCTAGCACACAGCCTGTGGGGTTGTGGCAAAAGGATATGATGTCTTCACTCCTGACCCTGTAGGGTTTTCTGGTGGTTATTGAGTTGAATCGGTGCCCAGAAAGTGCTGAGTGCAGGAATGGGGTGAAGTGAGACCCTGTGAGCTGGTGGGTCAGCTTATCTTTGCCTGAGTGGCTTAGCAGAACTCAGTTGTGTCATCCTTGGATGCCATGCAGAGGGTTACAGAATCAATCACATAATGTTGGGGATTGGAAGGGACCTCAAAAGATCATCTAGTCCAATCCCCCTGCCAGAGCAGGAACCTAAATGAGATCACACAGGAAGGCATCCAGGCAGGTTTTGAATGTCTCCAGAGAAGGAGACTCCACAACCTCCCTGGGCAGCCTGTCCCAGTGAACAGGCTTGCTGTGCTTCCTCTGCATTACTGCAGCCCTGAGACCTCATGAGCCCAGTTCTGATGGGGTTGTCCTGGGACAAGATGCTGCTCGCACCAAGCCTGGGTAGGGACATGGCTGTGAGGATCCATCCTCATGCATGATGGAAACTCCCAAGGTTTCCAGCCACCCCACCCCAGAGTGAGTGCTACCATCATCCCAGTGCCCAAAGAAGGTTTCCTGGGGAACAGCAATCCACGCAGACTCATTTGCGCCTGCGGTTTTAAGGCTGTTGCCTGCCCGTGGCTCCTCCCTGAGTCAGAAAGTTCTGGGTTTGCAGGAACTGAACATCATTGCTGCTTGCTTTTGACGGCACTCCCAAGTGTGGGGAGAGCTGGGTGGTGCTGTGGGTTCAGTGCAGTTATTGCATGACACTTCGGTGCCACTTTCATCCCAGTGACGCCTATACCAGACTCTTGCTCTGACTCACAGCAGCGAGTGACTAGATCAGGCCTGCAAAATGCCCCAGCATCACTGTGTCCCCTCCCCAACCTTTTCCTGTAACCTCCCAAGATAAAATAACCTTTCCCTGGCCCCAGGGCACTCAACCTTTTCTATCTTCTCCCAAGAGCTGCTGCTGAAGTCCACATACCATCTATGCACCACAAATGGTAAGAGCAGCAGAACATCTCCTCTCTTGAAAGCCCTGCTGGTAACACTGCTGATTGCATAGTAGGCTCAGAAGTCTCTTGCTTTCCTGAAGCCTTGGACTTCAGGGGATCAAATGCATTTGTAACAAGCAAGTAGCTGATCCACCATTTTCCCAGAGGAACTTGCGTGAATGTGCTGGTGCAGCTGCTTTCCTGGGTTAATGTTTTGTTTCGTGAAAGGACATCCAGGCTGACGGGGCAAAAGTCAGAGCGTCTGGAAAAAAGCTCACTTCTGGGCAGCGCAGTGTGAGCTGGCATCAAACACTGATCAGGATCAAACTTCAAACAGTAACCTTAGAAAAAAGGGAGTACTGGGGTAACTTGGCTGTTGTACCCCCAAAGAGGACAATTTGGTTCAAAGTTTCCTTGTATGCCCTGAGCCCCTGTGAGCTGGAGCTGAAAACATGCACTTCTTTGCACCCAGGGCTTCCAGGCTGTCTTCTGCAGACAGGGATGTGGTCTCTTCTCCTGCCCTTGCTTGCTGAAGGCACACCAAGTTGGTGGGGACAAGACAGTGACACCTCCCAGTCAGGGATTTGTGTCCTCTGGCCTACGAGGCACACTTGGGCAACTGCTCAAGACTCCCTCCAGCCAGGTGACAGTCACTGTGCAGACCTGTGGTCAGCCCTAACAAAAATAAGACATGCTGGCTCTTGGCTGTGACTGTCTTGGCCATCGTGGTGGTTTTTTTCCTATAGACCTCAGTGCTACAGTCAGCACGTGGTCTGATGACAAGGAAGCTTGCAGCCACACTTATGTGGTGGCAATATCTGACCACACTGCTGGGAAACTGGGGGACTTTAGAAAATAACCCTCTTAGCTTTAAAAAATAGTGATATCTGTGTGCTTACTGGCTCTTCATGGCTTTTCTTTGAAGAACTTCAATAGAAACTCATGTATAAAACCACGGCGTCTCACAGCAGTGGGAGCTGCAGTCAAACTGCGCTTGGTGCAGGAGGACCTGCTCTGCAGTCTGGTTATCACATTTGGCATCCTCAGTTCCCCTGTTTGGTGAAAATGCTGGCTTTTGACAGTGTCCTGAGATTGGGTTCTTGGTGCAGAACATGAAAGAGGTAATCTCAAAAACATTATCTGGCCCCTGCCCCTAAATCTGGCCTCTTTGGTTAGGAAACTATTCCTTAGGTTAGAGCTCCAGAGAGTGGGCACCTCACCTTTTGTTGCACATCCATCCTGCCAGGGGCTGAGGCATCTGCTTAGGATCAGGTCCATGGCCAGGATCACACAGGCTGTCTGGGCAGCTGCATTTACAGCGTGCTGGCTTGCTTCACTCACCAGCAGGTTCAACTCCAAGCAGAGCCCTGGTCTTTGGCAGGCGCAAAAACCAGCGAGGTCCCAGTTCTCTGAATGGGCACTGATGTGTGGATGTATCTGGTGATACATCAGGTACTATTTAACCCAACCCCAACCACTAAGCAGGAGCTCCCAGAGTGTATTTACATCATCCTAGAACCCGAGTTACCTGAGGGACGGTGGCTGCTCGTTGAGGTGATGTTGCACACCAGGAGATCTATGGGAGGGGGAGTAAGTCCAGCTGCCGGGCAGAAATCGAACACCTGGACATTCTTGGGCATAGAATCACAGAATCACAGA